CTAAATGATATTTCTAAGAAGAAAAATGGTTTATTTAATTTATGAATAACAAAAATTATTTTGTTTCAATTGTTTATTTAGTTTTTGATGTTAGTTATGACTTTTTACATAAATATTAGTATATTTGATGCAATAAACTTTAAAAAAAAAATGCTTTAGGTCTCCAATAAAAAAAAATTAAAAATCTATTGAATTGATGTAAAGCTTGATTAAAAAGATAATTTTGTAAAATACCTGATTATCAGGGCAATGCTGAAAAATGTTGTTCTTTATAAATGTTGGTTCGTCGCAGTTCCCTAGTTAATTAATGATGGATAATTTATTATTAAAAAAGCATCTAACAATTTTTTTAATTACGTTTTTTTCTTTAAATAACAAACTTTTTTATTTAGTAATTGTATAAATAGTGCTATTAAAAATCGTTTTCCAATGTTCAAACCTTCACATTATTAGAAAAAAAAAATTGAGAAAACGATTCGATAAACAGCTCATTTATCGAATCGTTATCGAGTATTCAAGTCTAAACTCAGTTAGAAAAAGAATAAAAATTTTTTAAGCAAGCGATTCGGAACGAAGCAAAATTTATTAATCGCTTTCTTGTAACCCAATTGAAACACAAGAACTTCGCCAAAGATGATTCTGAGTAATATTTTTGGTAGTTAAGGAGCATCGACTTTAGGAAATATGGTAACAAGACGACATTAAGAAACACAATTTATCATTAAATATCATCTTATTACATGAGCTCGAAAATAATTAACTGAGCTTAATTTTTTCTAAATCAAAAATTTTACGTTTTATCATATTGCCAATGGTACCTTCTTCAGCAATTCTCTTTAAGTCAACGCTTATATCATCTATTATTTTCGCTACTAATCGTTTTGAAAAAAATTTCTAATAAAACTAACTGCAATAAAAATAATTAAAAATAAATAAATAAATGAATACCCACATTTTCAATTTGATTTTTTTTTCAAAGCAAAAGAGAGACATTTGAGCAATCTACTTTTATTAGGTGACACTGATTTGAATCATGTCTCTATAACTTACTCTTTTTGTGGTCCTCTTTTTTCAGCCATCTTACCCTCATCTCATCTTTTACATTATGTCCTCACAATATAGCCACCGTCCTTTCTGTAGAAAAAATTCCCCATTTAACAGCTTTGTAAGCTATTTTGTTGTTGAAGTCTTATTCCTTGCCCCCTTTCATTCATGTAAACGACTTGTCATCAACCTTGTGCTTGTCAACAACAATCGATTTAGGTGATCTTTTTACCTGAAGGATAGTACCATCGATCCAGGGTCGTAATTCTTTTGCTAACCTCCCTCTCACATTCTTCGAGAGTGTTGGTGGTCCACCCTTACCACTAAATTAGTAAGGTTCATTCAAGTAGCCGTTGTTGGTGGTAAGCTATTGTAATGATGGGTCCCTTTGTAGGTGAGGCCGTTGGTACAAGACCACCGAGGGACAGAAGTAAAGGGGTCTTTTGTTGTTTACAAAAAGGGTGTAACAAATACTACTTTTCATCTCTTTGTACATGAACACTGCCCGTGTTTAGTACTACTATATAACGATAGTAAAAATCACTGTTAGGAGCTCCTTGTCTGATATTTGAATTGAAAATGCAGTTAATGTTTCTTGTCATCGTTATCTTCAATTTCGTTTCTGTGCTTTTCCAAAAGTATCAGGCTGCTGTAATGAAAGCTTTTTACCTGTTATTATATGACATTTGAATTGAAAAATATTTCATGGTCATAGTCATCTGTAGCTTTATTTTGAGATCTTCTTCAATAATATCAGATCACTACAATATGAGTTCGTTTCCTGTTAAAGTGAATCTCAAATTGAAAAATAGTCAGTTGGATCCTCATTTTATTTCCATTGTTTCTTCACCAGCATCAAGTCACTGTTTCAGGAGCTCGTTGCCTATTATAAAGGGATAATCGTATTGAAAAAAGAGTTGAAGAAAAAACAGACAATGGGTATCTTATTTTATTTGAAATATCGTACCAAGATATAGCCAATAATTTTTCACTCTTGGCTGCCCTCTTCCGATGATAAAGCATGCGTAATCATTGTTTTTATATAAAAGCAATCGTTCAAAAAAGTGATAAAGTTGACTTTTAAATTTTGTACAACCTACTACGAATTATTATCGGAAAAGTTTCTTGGTGAAAAAATGTTCAACATTGTTTTACTACTGCTCTATTATCATTTGAATTGAATACCTGCAAGTGTCGCTACCATAGGTAAATCGTGGCATTTGTCGATGCAAAAACTAATCAGGTTCGACGCACACGCGTAATTCGCAGGTATCCAATTAAATCTCATTTAAATCACATGGGTAGGCACTCTTCTTGAGTTATAAGTGCCCAATTTTGTGACACTTTTTGCGATTAGTATGCTATTTTTATCGAAGTTATTTATAACAATGACGTTTTGTCCATCTCTAGTTAGCGCCCTCTATGCAGAAAATGAGAAGTGTACAAAATTTTATAGATATAAAATTAAAGCTATATTTCTTTATTTCAAGTTAAGATATTCTACCTGTATAGGAGTTTCATTTATTTCTTTTGCCACTCTCAGTTATTCCAGGTATATATATAGTATATATAGTTACTATGATATATATTGTTACTATTAGTATATATTTTGGTTACTTTTAAGATGCAAATAATAAGATATTTATATGCCATGAAACGGACCAGAAAGATAATTGAATCGAATTTCTTATCTTTCTTAAAAAGTTTTATTGTGATTAAAAAATATCAATGACGAGAATAAATCATTATTGTCTCTGGTGAATCAGATTAGTCATGATTATCTATGATGAATCAAATAAGTCATGATTATCTATAATGAATCAGATATGAATCAGATAAGTCATGATTATCTATGATGAATCAGATCAGTCATGATTATCTAATCACATTCTATTTTTATATAGACAATTGTTTTCGTAAAAGCAGAAAAACAGAGATAAAGTTAAAAATATAAAAATATTGTTCTTTTACATGATGAAATTGTACCAAATGTTTTCCAACATATTAAACGCTGGATCTCAAAAGTTCTTCTTTATTTTCTTTTTTTTAAAATCAGTATGCAAACATTTATTTAATTTTTAGATATTTCTGTCCCCGTTCACTGTCAAGCTATTAAAACAATAAAAACTTTAAGACATTAATCTTTAAAAACATCGTTTTAGAGCAAGATAAATTGATATTAAAAATGTTTAGGGTATTAAAAAAAATGGAATGTTAGTAGGTTTGAAACAACCATTTGATCTACGACCTACGTTTGAACCATAATTTAAAGAGCAAATCTTCTTTACCTTCGAAGTCTTCGCATTTTTTTGTGACAATATATGGTCTTAATGATTATAGCAACATTACTCATTGGCTGAACCCCCTATTTCTGCTGAGTTAATAACACTAGATTTTACTCACTTGACAAAGAGAGGACAAGCGAAAAAATGATGATCTTTTTATATCCCTCCCCACTCTCTTCTCGGTGGCAGTAGCCTGATCGCTTCTTACGATAAGATATTGAAAATTTATGTCAAGGTGACAAGGTGCGGACATGGACGAAAGCTACATCCGGGGGAATGGGAGGCATATTAAATCTGATAGAATATTTCTTGGCATGCCCTGTTAACCCTACATAGTGTCATGATTATCTAATAATTATTTTTTTTTTTTTCTTTTCTGTATAGGAATTTGATGTTTTAAAAACAACAGATCAGATATTAAAAACAACAATCTTCGGGTAAGGTATTTAAAAACGACAGCATTCTGAATGTTGTATTTAATACTTGACCTTTAAAATTGTTGTTTTTATTGCATGACCCGGACATTTTCTTTTTGTTAAGTAACCCAGAGAAAAATAATTTAAAATTTTATTCATTTTAGCGCTATTTATGAGAGTTCTTGAGAAAATAAATAATCTGTATAACGCAGAGAAATTTAATTTCAAATATCATTCAATATGAAACTGTTTTTGTGCATTTTTAAATTATGTAATACAGAGATATTTAACTGTAAATATTCGTTATGGGACTAACTTATACAGCAAACAGTATTATAAGTCGATCCCTTATGTTTGATTGCGGGACAGCAAATTTCTGGTATGTTGCGTGTTAAAGTCGACCCCTGTCGACCTGTCGCTTGAAATAGAGATTTTTTTTTTTTTTTAAGAATTCAGGCACACAAAAAAATATTTATTTTTTAATTGTAAATCGAATTGCATCAAATATTGAGAGAAAAATTGTAATCTTAGAAAGTGCTGTGTCTTTTTTAGTTATAAGTGTAAGGGAGCATAAGCCCCCAGTTCTAAGGGTACTGATTGAATCCGACGCATACGACATTCTGGAGTCTTTAAATGTGTCGCTTTATGGTTTGCTTTAAAAGTTTTCATTCTGTTATATATTTTGAAATGCTCTTTTGAATGGAATAAATAAATTTTTCTTATTCTTATTTTTTTCTTCTGAACTCAATTCAAAGTATTGTTTCTAAAACTTTTTGTGTACGGAAAATTTGGTTAGAGAAAATGCAAAATTAATTTTATATAACATATTAAAAATAGTTCTTCTTAATAATGCAACACAAATAAATTTATTTTTAAATATCATTCATTATAGAATTTTTGTTTTTCTCCTTATTTTTATTTTTTTTCCTGAAAATTAATTTTTTATTACTATTATTTTTTTATTTCCAATCAGGAAATGCTGATAAATTTGATTTAACCATTGTTCAATACAAGCAGATCTGAAGGTTTTTCTTTTTTCTTTTTTCTTTTTTTTTTTAATTGTAAAACGCAACGAAATGTGATATTTGAAATATCCCTCAATATAGAACTAATTGAAAAACATTTTTTTTTCCATTCTTCAATCATGTAGAGCTTAGATATTTAATTTATTATAAAGCTATTCTTAAGAGTTAACGTAGTCAACAGTGTCAGCATTATTATTAATTTCTAATAATTATTGTCTGTTATTTTTCAGGTAGCAGGGAGACAGCATTTATTTACGCCATTACAAGTGCGGGAGCGACGCATGCGGTGACGCAAGCGTGCAGTGCGGGGAATTTGACGGACTGTTCGTGCGATACGTCACGGCAAGGCCAAAGTATGCCAGAGGGCTGGAAGTGGGGCGGCTGTTCGGACAATGTGCGTTACGGCATGATGTTTGCCCGACAATTTGTTGACGCCCCGGAAAGGGCGGAAAGAAAAAGGGATGTGAGGGCTCTTATGAATTTGCACAACAACAACGCAGGAAGACTTGTGAGTATTAGAAATAATTATATCTCACTAATTTGTAATCCGGAGTTTAATAGACATGTGTTTATGTTGCCTTATATACCCTTTCTGCATAAAAAATAACTAAACAGTGTCGCGTTAAATTAAGTATTTCATATTTCGTTTATTTGAAAGTGTATGAATTCTGCCAAATTGGGGGCTGATAGATACGTTGCAATTCAAGATTCAGATTTCTTAAAAACGCTGTTTTTCGAAGCTTTGTTGCCGAGGAAAATAAAAAAGAAATCATAGTTTAAGTGCCTTACACTTGAAGCAATGCGATGATTTTAAACTATATTTATAATCTTGCCATAAAGAATTACCTGGGTTTTAGAACAGACAATTCACTTAAATATTTTAAAAATTATTAAACTTTTTTGAAAGTCGCCAATTTGGCGACATTTTCCCACCTAGATGAAAATTATCAAAATCACTGACCTATTCTCAGTTTTCTCAGTTTGGCAGTTGAATTTCAAATAGCCTATGGATGTCTACAGATATTTATAAAATTTTTATTAAACCATTTAAATTTCAATGGTATTTACTTCTTAGACACACTGTTGAAAGAAAAGCTCATAATAAATACTTAAGAAGTTCATATGTCATTTGATTGAGTTTTAGACATTGGTTCCATGCCGCATGCGTGACCATCAGAAATCATAACTTGTCATGTAGCTTAAGGTTTTTTGTGAAATATGAATAAAACTATTTATAAAATTTGAATAAAACTATACACATTTGGAACAAAGTTATTTTATGTATAGATAAATCCTTGGAATTTTCATATTCTGACTAAATATTAATTAATTTGTATTAATTAATTTGTGTATTAATTAATTTGTCTTAAACTTTTATAAGTTTTTGTTGATAACAGCTTCTATTTATATGATACAGTTTATTGGAAATTCTGGCTTTCAAAATTATTCTAATTACCACACATTTAGAAAAATGATATAAAACTAAAAAGTAAATTCGATGGTTTTTTTATGCCATAGTTTAAGGTATCATGATAAAGCTGCCAAATTTTACCACATCACATATTATACAGCCATATCGTGTAGTGTTTGCATTGAACCAAAAAACACGGTAAATTTTGTCATATTCCTCTAGTTTTGACCATAAATGTTTCTTAGTGTACTATTGGTTAATTTTATGCCCATAACACTAGTAGTTTTTAGAAGAGAAGAGTATTGCATTTAAGGACCTCACTTAAATTATTATCTAAAAATATTATTACTAATTTAATTAATTTCTAAATCTCAATTCTATAATCTAGATTTATAAGAAGCCTTGTAGCGTATCTACCACTACAAAATTACAACTACAATTCACTAGTATATAAGACATGTTAACTCGACTCTATGTCGGGGTACCTTTTCATAGATGAAGGTTGACATGGTCTGTAACTACTCTCCCCACATTGGTGACCTTCGGACGTGATGTAAACACGCCTACCTTGGCAGTAACGCCCACTTCAATATGAACACGCCTACCTAGACAGTAACGCCTACTTCGATGGATGATCCACATTGAACTGTTGACTTGCTACTTGTGACAGCGTCATTATCCACCTCCTCGCACTGTTGTTACTCAGTCTCGATCACGCACAACGTCGGCTTGCAAACTTGTGATTACTCGACTGCTAACGGCAACAGAGGAGCGACTACGACCGTGAAGTTAATACACCTCTCACATTCAGCACTAAAAAAATACGGTGATCTTCTCACAAAACAGCAATGAATCAACTAGTGGTATTCGTTCATCGAATTCTATCACAGATATAATTCTAGTGGGGGAGTACTGTAGCGTATCTACCACTACAAAATTACAACTACAATTCACTAGTATATAAGACATGTTAACTCGACTCTATGTCGGGGTACCTTTTCATAGATGAAGGTTGACATGGTCTGTAACTACTCTCCCCACAGCCTTATATTGTGAGACTGTTTGATATGTGACAAATGCTATCTTCATCTTCTTCAAAATTTCATCTATATAATGTTATAGAAAGCAAGGCTTTTGAATTTTCAATCCTACAATTAAATTTTTTAAAAATATAACATTTTAAAAAATATTTTTAAACAATTCTAATATAATATAAGTAGGGCCCCTTGAAGTTTTAAAAATGCGAGGCTCTGGACAAATGCCCCACCCTTACGACGATTATCATTATATTCTAAAGTGAGAAAATGCAATTTAAGGAAGGCATTAAAAACAAATGATCGTAAATTCATCTATAAATAATTATATCTAAGTGAGCAGTTTTAGAACTGGATGCATAAATTGGTTCGTAATGTCCTAGAATTTCTTTGTAAACTTCTAGTAACATTAAAATTCGGAGTAAACTGAACATTGGAATTTCTAAAGTGACAGGTGGGCAAAGAACTAGTTGTGAGGTTACTTTCGAATTCTTGTTGCTATTGTTCGAATGAAGGGAGGAGGGAAAATTCTAGAATTCTTTTGCGTCAGTTATTATAATGTAACAAGTCAGTTCCTTGCATTATTCTATCTTCCGTCATTTAGAATTTTGCCATTTCCAGCCACTAGAAAGAATTTGGTATTTATGATGATGGTTTTTTTTTTTCTTCCTCCACCTATTCTATTCTAAAACATGAAACATGTTAACCTTTGTGACAAGTTGAGAAAAAAAAAATACTCGGCGAATCATCGCGAGTTACTTCTCCAATTTATGATCGTCTGAAAAATTCATTTTGTTCCTCACTACGCATTATATCATTCAATCAAACGATTTCTTTCTGCACGTTTTATTTATTTATTTTTTGTTCCATATTTACTTTTAAATGTTCGAAGTTGATGTGGACAAAAGAAAAAAAAGTTTTAAAAGAGTTTAAGGTTGAACCATAATATTGGCACCTTAAACCATTATACGGTCAAGATTAACTGCACCGTTAAGACATTGGATTGAATTGTGTTGTTCCAGTAAATTTTGTACGATGTATGGTCCTAATATCTTACAGTGTTCTTCTGTGTCGTCATTAAAATTACTAATAATGGCACAGCTAAGAAAAAAACACGCTTTAGGGTTAAAACTTCCCAGCAAAGAGATAAATGCAAATTGCGAGTTATTATTAAGTTATGTCTTATAATTAATTAATATTAAGTTATTATTAATTAATGATGATTAAGATAATTATTTTATAGAATGTATAGTCATACATAATTAACCCATTACAATTAAAGTTAAGCTAAGCAGCGTCATCGGAAAACTAAAGATTTATTAATTAAGTTTCTAAAGCTTCTAATAATTCGAATTACCGCTTTACCTTTACAAATTAAAATTCTCAAAACAGTAATAATCTTTAATAACAGACTTTTTTTCCTTCCTTTAAATTAACTTATTAAGTTATAGCAGTGTTTTCGAATATCTTCGTCAGAAATTTACGATCATATTTTTTTTTAATTAACCCTGGACGCTTGTAAGCATACTTTTAGAAGAACTAATTCAACCAATAGTGTCCGGCGTTCCTTTTTAGAACGATTCTAAAAATGCGTCAAAGGTCACTGTAACTTTTTTTTAACGTTAATTATTGTTAAGTATTAAATTCTTTTAAACGAAGCAGTTATTTCTTTTAATTGGTCTGGTAAAAAAATGTTACTTTTAGATCAGTTTAATGCATTTTGCATTGTCAAAAAGAAAAGATCTAGTTTGTTCAATTTATTATTTAATTCTTAATTTAGTTGTAAGCCACAAATATTTTCACAAATGTAATTGTAATAATAATTTTTTAATAGGATTTCTTATAATTTTTGATTTTTATGCTGAAGTAATTACGCTCTTGTAATTTTTAACGGTATTTAGAAACTAATGTATAATATTAGATTCCATTAAGCTTTTTTTTTTTTTTTTGCAAGTAATTTTTGTCATTCATTTTTTTTAATGACAATTGTAGCTAGAAAATTGTTTGCGTGGAAATACTGTTCAGACATTCAGGAAACAACTGGATAAAATGTGATGAACATGTTAATAATATTTTTTGTTGAACTCAAAATTAATAATTTTATCCCCTTTTCAAACTCTCACAATTTTACACGATTAAATTACAAGAATTGATGTCTCGAATTAAAGGAATTTTGCTCCCTTTAAATTAACACGTTTCCCAAGACGCTGACATCTTCCAGTGATATTTTCCCTATTTTTCGTCAGATTTAGTTCATATCACCTTAAAACTTCTTTGAAAACGCAAAATTGTTTGTCTTATGCGTAGTCTAGCCAATTTCCAAATCTTGTGCTTTTAAACTCTGTATTTCAGTTATTTCGTCTCAAATTAACTATTTTTGTATCAAAATAAAATGGCGCCAAGCGTTACGGAACAGGTTCCTCTCTTAAAAGTATTGCCCTCATAAATACATAGAATCATTCCCAAGTATAAGTTACGATTGTTTTTGCAAGTGGGATAAAATGTGGGGGTTAAAGATAGCTTAATATGGCAGTAAGAACGTCAGGTGATGAAAAAGTTCGCCAAACGAAAAAAGTAGGGGGGTGGGGGAGAGAGAGAGAATGAAAAGGCGGCACGTTGTGCAAGACCAAGAAAGATCGCTTCACCCTAATGAAGGCTAATGATTAGCCTACTACCGGGTTAGAAAAAAAAGACAAATGAAAAGCAAGACCCGCCTTTCTTTCGCGCAATTTCGGAAAAGGAATTTTAGGGTTGCCACAACGCGGATGCTTATTTTTCTAAACTTTCTTTATGTGGTTGCCTGTTTATTTAGAAGTAGAAATTATTATTATTTATTTAATTTTTTTTTCACCAAGAAAGATAAAAATCGTTTCACAAAATTGAGGGTCTTTATTACATTTTCAATACTTAATTTTTAAGCCAGAAAGAAGAGAGTTGTAAGTTATAACAAAATCTTCTCACAGAAATCTTTTCTGCTGTTTTAAAACTTTTTTCCATTCTTTCAAATGAAATAGAACGCTACTTATTTAAGTTGTTTGATTCTTTAAATATTTATTTAATACG